GAAGACTGCGGAAATAGCAGCACTTCGTCGGAGGTCGTTTATAACATCAAGGCTCCGATGGAGCAGGTAGCTGGACGACGCTGAGTGCGTGTTCTCACTGGACTTGACGGGACGGCGATGCTGTATGTTATCTGCACGACACAGGGCATCAGCCCTGACCCAGGATGTGTCTGTCGTAAAAAATAGCGCACTGCTATACACCCTTGTCAGCCGTTTGACGAAGCATTAAGACGGCGACGTCACCCTCGAGACTGGATTCTCTTCTTGAGCTGTACGAGATGTCTTTCGAAGGGTTTGGCAGTGCCTCGGAGACAGGCGAATTGGCCAAGGTGTTCATCATACGATCGAACGGGGAGATTAACTCGTCGTCGCTTCTGAATGAAGCTGTCCTGGAGGACACAAAGAGGGTGCTGAACGCACGAAGTGGATCGTCGATCCCGAGGGATCCCTCGGTTCCGTACCATCCTTTGGTAAAGGAACTTCAAGCCGTCGTTTTCAAAGACCCGCCGTTCGTCCTACTTCCGGAAGCCCAAACTCTGCGAAATATGTCACTGGCTCCTGCGCAAAGAGCAGTATGACGTCTTTTCCGTGCGAAGCACGACGCAGGAATGGTGCGTGAGAGCAAGTCTCCCCATTCGACACACACGTTTTGTGTCTGGAAGCCGAACGGCAAGTGGCGTATCGCTCACGCTTATAATAAGCTAAACGCTGTCATCATTTCGGCACAGACGCCGATTCCTAGAAATGATATATTTTCAGAGCAATATGGCTGGCGGTACAAACTATAGCGCACTCGACTTGGTCGATGGTTATGGTCGATGGTCGATGGTTATTAGCAATTGGTCATGAGAGCGAGTGATATTCCGCTGACAGCGGTGAGTACTCCGAGCGGGATGTTTTGTGTGTGGCTGATGATGCCCCAAGGGCTGTCAAATGCACCAGCAACATTTAATCGTCTTGTTACGCACTTATTCAGGCCCCATCGGGCGTATGTACAGACATTCTTCGACGACATCTTCGTCCACAGTAGTGCGGGGCACGGTAGGACAGATGTGGAAAACTGCATCGTTTATTTAAGAGCGGTGCTTGAGTGTATGCGCACGAAAAATCTGTATGCTCATGCCGATAAGTGCATCTTCGGCGCAGAATCATCGGGAAGCGCGGCCTTCGAGCGGATCTCGCTAAGAGCAAGGCAATTGTGGACTGACCGGTAATGGCTTGGTCTCGCTAACTACTTGCACAAGTATAGCGAGAACTACGCAGAAATGGCACGGCCATTGTCAAATCTTCATTAGGAATATTGTTCAGACACCGAGCATTGGGAGGCTTTTGATTGGAGACAGCTTCCTTCAAGCATGAATACTGGCGCTGCCAGACCCTGGTCGTATATTCATTATCGTCTATGACGCTTCGGACTTTGCCATTGGCTGTGCACTGCTGCAAGCATACGCCGAGGGGCGAGATCGGGTGACCGCGTTCGAATCTCGTCAACTCAAGGCTGCAGAGAAGAACTACCCAGTTCGCGACAGGGAATTACTTGCGATGAAGTATGCATTTGTCAAGTTCAGGGTCCACTTGCTCGGCTCCAAGCCGTTTGTGATTTATACAGATCATGCGTCACTACGCACTGCGACTCAGTCGCCCCACCTCTCGCAGATGATGGCTGGATGGCTATCCTTCTTTGCGGAATATAACTTTGAGGTGAAGTATAAGCCTGAAAAGCAGAATGCTTTGGCTGATGCGTTGTCACGCAGACCAGACTATGAGCTTGCTCATTAACTGTAACGTCGTCTGTGACGGATTTGATCCGCACCGCGAATGCGGGTGATGGGATGTGTGTAGCGTTGCTATGGACTCTCGGGAGCAAGGAGTTCAGAAACTCGGACAAGAAATTGTCATCAAGATTGCGTGCACCATTGCACCGATATTCGTTGAATTTCAGTTTGCCATATGATAGAACCGATTCATCGGATACACCACGAATTGTGGTTCCTCTTGATGAGGATCTGAAATACCGCATCCTCTATGAGGCTCACGACACGCCACTCAGTGGTCATCCTGGTCGTGAGAAAACGTACAACTCTGTGAGTCATCACTACTGGTGGCCCAAGCTGTACAAATGGACGAGCACATATGTGCGCACGTATGAGACGTGTCAACTGGTGAAACCCACCGAATGCGGCTGCGCCGCTGGCCAGATTACCGATACCCACTGGGTGCTGGCAGCTCATGAGTTTGGACTTTATGTTTGGCCTGCCGAAAGATTCGGCGGGCAACACGGGTGTCGTGGTATTCGTCGACCGGTTGAGCAAGATGGCTTATTTAGCGGCATTGTCAGACACCATCGACGGAGTCGGTACAACAACGTTGTCCTTGGATCGTGTTTTCTGTCAACACGGACTCCCAGAGTCGATTGTGTCTGATAGAGACCCCCGTTTCACGGGAAAATTTTGGTCGACTATCTTCAAGGTGCTCG